CTATAACAAACGCTATAATTCTCAACGAACGTCTCACGTGCTCGACTTCAACAATACTCAGTTCAATTACACACACCCTTGTTCTGTCACGTTGTGACCGTCTTATAGATACTAGACTAACACATATCTAGTAAACTCTAGAGCATTCATGAAGGAACAGGATATTTCTAGAAGGACGTGGCGTGATACTAGTCATGTGATCTCGCTGATGCAACACTATTTTCCATTACAAATCTTATTAGCAAACTCCTCTTAACTCTGGTTTAGATTGTGTTTGGGATAAAAAAATACCTGACACCCTCCAGCCAAAGTTAAGGAGAAAAAAATTTGTTGCTATTTCTGTAGACCAGTTAAGTTCAATACAAAATGAAGTTGATCTAGTCATCCTATTTCAGTTGATCAGTTAAGTATAACACAAAATGAAGTTGATCTAGTCATCCTATTTCAGTGGATCAGTTAAGTTCAACACAAAATTAAGTTGATCTAGTCATCCTATTTCAGTAGACCAGTTAAGTTCAATACAAAATGAAGTTGATCTAGTCATCCTATTTCAATAGATCAGTTAAGTTTAACACAAAATGAAGTTGATCTAGTCATCCTATTTCAGTGGATCAGTTAAGTTCAACACAAAATTAAGTTGATCTAGTCATCCTATTTCAGTAGACCAGTTAAGTTCAACACAAAATGAAGTTAATCTAGCCATCCTATTTCAGTAGACCAGTTAAGTTCAACACAAAATAAGTTGATCTAGTCATCCTATTTCAGTAGATCAGTTAAGTTCAACACAAAATTAAGTTTATCTAGTCATCCTTTCATAAGTGAGCTGCTCACATGTGTTTTACATTGATATAATTTCTTTCGAAAAATGACTCTATATAACTTACTTTGGTATTTAGTGCACATCACCCAATAAATGATCTCTTGCTACCACCATAAGCCGATTTCAAAAAAACGTCTTTATTTGTTTTTTTTAACACCTCGAGTGATGGTAATCCAGTTCTGTAGTTGTTTCCTTCTACCTTGGACCAGAACAAATTCTCTCTCAGGGTCTTCTTTATTTCATCATCAGAAACAGATCTAAATGAATCTTCAAATTGGATAGCACCATTTCCAGAAATTTCTTTATTATAATTTTTTGGTTCCCTATTTAATCTGTTAATTGTATTAACTGTCTGATGCTTAGTTTTAAGTGCACCAACATAAATACTAGCAGTGTTAGTCTTCAAAGGATCAATTTTCGTCTTAAACTTATTTTCCGGCACTGAAACAACTACATTATGTCCATGAAGAACTAGTAGTTTCTGCCTACATTCCATTACTTCATTGTGACATAACTTGAGCTTATTCTTCAAACTGATATTTTCTTTCATAACAAGTTACAATTTACTTTGATTTCTACTGACAAATTCTTCCAAAAAACTAGACAACTACTGTCATGATCAATTAATGTATGCACATTGTTAATTAAATCACTTATCTATTCTCACCTTGCTCTTCAGCTTGGAAATTAAATTTCTCAAGTTCTTCAATGTTGTTAACCTTGTCGTCAGCCATATTATAAAATGATATATGACAGCTACCTTTACATTTAGAATATTTCCATTGTTTTTTAAATTCATACATAACATTAAAATCCTTGTTCTCTATATTTACACATTTAATGTGAAACTTTAATTGATACATGAAACAAGAAATAACAGTATTTTCACTTTTGTTAGGCTTACCCGCTGCAACTCAAAAAGAGCAGATTTTACACATATCACTACAAGATGCCATTTCACCTTAATACATACTCTCTTTATACATAGAAAGATTGTATTTATATAAGTTATTTATAAGTTCTAAATACAATGAGGTTTTAACTGTAATATTTATTCTATCAAGTAGAAAGAAAGGCAGAGAAATGTAATTTGTAGTTTTTTCTCATGTAACAAACAAATATTTGTTTAATTTTGTTTGAATAAGTTAGTATTTGAGAAAAGTTATCACTTATAAATAGTGTAGTTTATTTATTTCTTTTAAGACAAAATTTGCAACTTATGAAACAAAGTGCATTTTGTACTAGTTAAACTAATCACTTACATGTAGATTCCATTTTGTTACTAATTTTCTTTCTCAGAGCTGGTTGCATCATTTCAGTACTTGTTATCTACTTGCTTATTCCTTAGGCTAATCTGTCACATCTAGGACAACATGAAAAGTATCCTGGTATTGGAAGTGGAATTGCCAAATGCCCATTTGATCCAGAGGATAATTCAACTGCTGTGTGGGTTGGTAAGTTTCTTTCTTTAAATATTGAAGTTTACATTTTTTATTCACGTTAGATAATTGATTGTCTTTGATTTTATTGGCTCTCTTAGAAAACAACAATTTTAAAGCATCTCTTCTGTTTTCCTGTCACTGACAGTTTTGTGTTTTTCTATCGTCATTGATTTGGGAAATTTTCTGATTTGTAGTGAAATATATTGTATCGGTCTCTGTTTTTTTTGTTTGCAAACTTACTTCTACTTAGTTATGAGTATTTCAAATTAGCAACAATAAACTATGTTTGTTAACTTTATCCAAGATGCTCTTTATAATCCCTTCTTTAAAAAATCCTCGAATAACATGTTATTTATCTCGTGTGTCACACTAACAGAAAAATTATTATTTCGTGTTTCTAGAACTGTGATGTCCAACTGTAATCTGCTGTCTGAAACCTTTGTTGTTGTTTTTTATACAAGGGATTTTTCAGGAAGCTGTTGTGTTGGGTAAAACTTCTATCTTGATTACTAAGAAATTGTATTTTACTTTTGGCATGAAAACTAACTTGTTTTGTTTCAGACTTGCTACACTGGGGATATATAAAGAAGCAAGTTGTGTGAGGACTTGGCAAGCAAACACAGTGCTGTTGAACCTTCTTTTCTTTTATTTTTGACAAGAATTCAACTGTGTTAAAACTGTGTGTTTTTAAACCAAGAATTAAATTCTCAAGTTACTTTTTGGCACCAAGTAATAGTTTGCTTTTTGAAACATGGTTCCAAAGTAATAGTTTGATTTTTGAAACATTGTTCAAAAGTAATAGCTTGTTTTTGAAACATTGTTCAAAAGTAATAGTTTGTTTTTTGGAAAGTTTTTATTCTGCAAAGATTTAAATTAATGTAAAACATGTTTTAACATAAAATGAACATTATGAAGATTTATTATTTATTTTTATCATTTATTTTTATATATATGCAAGTCTGTACTCCATGCATTTTATTACTTAAAAGGAAATCATGATTTGTTAACAATTAGCATGTTAACTGTTATTATAATTCTACTGATCTTTTTAATTTACTGAAAATAAGGAAAAAATTACTACCTTTTATGCAACAAACTTATTTTCAATGGTTCCTAATTTTTATGTTGTACTTGAATATGGAAATTGAAATTCAGCAAATATATAAAACATTGTATTTTATATAAAATTTAAATACCTAACCAGACATATGTCGACTCAGCTGTTGCATTATGAGTCTAATAGAGTACATGATATGCCTTTTCTAAAGAATATTTTCTTGTTCGTTTTTTAAATATTTAAATGATGTACAGCTGAAAATTTGAAAACAATTTTTAATCATATGCTCAAATCTATATATACACCTGGAAAAAAGTTAAGCACCCCCAAATATTTTTCAGGATTGCTTATTGAAAATAAGGTTTAATT